ACCCATGAAATAAGACCCTTACTCCACACCCATGAAATCAGACCCTTACTCCATACCCATGAAATCAGACTCTTACTCCACACTCATGAAATAAGACCCTTACTCCATACCCATGAAATTAGACCCTTACTTCATACCATACAGAAAAAGTACCCCAAAATGAAGTATCAATCTAAATACGAGACCTAAAATTATAAAACTGAAAGGAAAACTCTCCATGGAGTTAGAGCAAACAAGGATTACTTGGCTATAACCTCAAAAAACAAAAGCAATAAAAGGAAAAATTGATACATTTGGCTTTAGTGCAATAAAACCTTTTTCACTTCAAAACACACCCACCATGAAGAGTATGAAAAGGCAAACCACAGAGTGAGAAATCAAAGGTGTGATAAAGAGCTTCTATCCAGACTCATGGAGTCCAGATGTGGCGTTACAGGATAAGCACTGGGCTACTAACTGCAAAGTCGGTGGTTCAAACCTGTTGACCGCTCTTTGGAAGTCCTATAAAGGATCCCTCTGAGTCAGAACCGACTCCAAGGCACTTAACAACAACAGCAACAGGAAATCCAGACTCATAAAAAGCTATTCCAACCCAGCGATACAAAGACAAATGATCCAATTGAAAACAGGCATACAATTTGAATAGAGATCTCACCAAAGAAGACAGATGTGTGACTAAGCACATGAAAAGATGTTCAAAATCATTACTCATTGGGGAAATGCAACCCAGACTTACCACTTTACTCCCACTAGGGTCTCTGTCGGTAAAGTGTCAGTAAAGGCATGGACAAACTAGAATCGTCAAGACTTTGCTGGTGCAAATGTAAAATGCGTTAGCCACTTTGGAAAAACGGTTTGGAAATTCTAAAAAAAAGGTTGATCATAAATAGATCACACAACCCAGTAATTCCACTCCAGATGTTTACACAACCGTAACTATAATACAAATCACTGCACTGTACACTTAAAATGAATGCATTTTAAGGTATACTGTTGTTGTTATTAAGTGCAGTCAAGTCAATTTCGACTCATAGCAGCCCTGTATAGGATTTCTGAGGAGCAGCTGATGGGTTTGAACTGCCAACCTTGTGGTTCACAGTCTTGTGCTGATCCTATAGTATTTACCCAAGACAACTGAAAACATATCCCCACAACCCCTTGTATACAAAAGGACCGATAAGCAATATCATGACAAGTAAAGAAAATACTGAAGGTGTCAAGAGTTCATTTTACTTGGAGCTCACCCGTGGAGTCCTGGTGTGGCGTTGTAGGATCAGGGTCGCTATGAGTCTGAACCAACTGGATGGCAAGTAACAACAAAATGTAAACCCATACCAATGAGTAAGGAGACCAAAGAAAAATCCCAGCTTTTGAGTTACGGTACTGGTGAAGGTTAGTGAAGACACTACACCATACCATCTCTCTCTCTACAGCAGATTATAAATGCGAGAAGACCCCTACACGGAGCTCCCCTTAAAATTCCCATTCTCTAATTTGATCTTGGTCACCCAAATAGGCTCACTTCCTCTTGCTATGACCTCATTGCAGATGGCTCCCATGAATCCCACCCCTCCATAGTCAGGCCACCCCAAATCCACTGTACTGTTGACCTACCTCCACCTTCCCACCGTCTGAAGGTGCTAATCAGTCAACACCCTTCAAAGATCTCAGCATCAAGACTGTCAGTAGTTCTCGAAAAGGCTGACCCCAAACACATGTTTACTTGAAAACCTGTTTGGGGTGAGTCTGTTGGCTGCACCTTCAGCTGTGCTTCATGGGACACTTCTTCCTCACCCTAGACGTGCTTCATCCAAGCAGCTCAAACAACCACAACTTTCCCATATGTTAACAACTCAAAAACCGAGTGTTCTGATCCAGACCTCCCCTGGAGCTCCTTAAAGCCAACTGCCACTGTTCATTGTCACCGAGAAATCCCAGTCAACTTCCCATGGACACCCATGTATTACTGTTTCATTCACTTGGTCTTATTCAGTGCTTACCAACCTACAAGTGGAAGAACTGGCAAAGGGTCAAGAAAGATGGAGAAGAGCAAAATGCAAACTTATGTAATAGCCACAATCTTCAAATGAATACAAACCAGGCAAGGCGATACTATTGTTAATCACGACCCTTCTTGACGCAACCAGGAAAATCCTCATGTTTCAAGGAAACAAGAACATGCCACACGAAATTGCAATACCCTCAAGTTTCCCTTCCCTGTAACTGCTTCCAAAACACTCGTCGGAATGGAAAATATTAACAATGATGTTATCAAACACACACTTCATCCACTTTCTGGGAAATGAAACAAAAAAACTCACAATGTTGCTCCAGAAAAGGCTTCCCAGAAACAAACTAGGACTGTCTTTGGGCAGATTTCGCCTAGGTAAAATGGACTTACCTTCATGTGGCTGAAATCGCCGGGTTTGCTGCCCTCAGGTGGGTTGGCAGGCTTGCTGTCTGCTCGGGGCCTAACGACCTGCCGGAAGGGACTGGACAGCGGAAAACCACTGACGCTGATTCCATCTACAAAATAATGGCAAAGACATTAAAGTGGATGTTAGCTTGAATTCTTTTTTTTTTTAATCTAGGGTTCCATTTCAATTGTTTTGCAATAGCTGAAAGAGACACTCCAGTTTCTGTTCTCCATATTACAGTATTCTGCAGGAAGACTGAAGAACCGTCTTCAATGGTGCTGGAACAAGTCAACAATCCAGATGCCAAATAATAATCATCATCATCTAGACACACACCTTATACCTTTTATAAAAATTAACACAGGAGTTTCTGCTAAAGACAATGGGAAAATTTCGCAAAAGAGAAGAATGGCTGAACAACATGAAGAATATAATTAATGTCACTGAACTGTGGAGGTGGCGGTGGTGGTGATATGTCGTGGAGTCGGTTCCAACTCCCAGAAACCCTGTATAGAGTTCCCCAGGCTGTAAATCTTGATGGGAACAGAAAGTATCGTCTTTCTCCCTTGAAGAGACCGGTAGATTTGAACTGTTGACCCTGCGGTTAGCAGCCCAACTCGTAACCTACTACCACTGCCAGGGCTCCTTCACTGAACCGTATCTGTGATGACTGCTGAAGTAGCAAATGTTTAATTGCCTGTCTACTCACCACAATTACAAGGGAAATGCAGTATCATAGACCTAAATGTTAAATCCAAGGCCAGAAACCTTCTAGAAGATGAGACAGGAGGAAATCCAGGTGACCTGGAGTTCAGCAATGACTTTGTAGACGCAACGCCAAAAACACAACCCATAAGAGAGAGACCTGAGAAGGCAGGTGTTCTTGATAGACGTCATGAAGAGAATGAAAAGCTAAACCACACTAGAGGTATCTGGAAACCACAAATCTGACAAAGAACTTGTCTCCAAAGTATGCAGAAAACATTTAAGTATATGAAAAAATGGTCCACCCTATGACCTTACAGAATTACACATTAAAACAGCAACAAGCTACTAGACACACCTCTTACCCACTGCCACCAAGTCAACACTGCCTCACAGTAGCCCCTACAGGACAAAGTAGAACTGCCCCACAGGGTTCCCAAGGTTGCGGCTCTCTCTATGGATGCAGGCTGCCAGAACTTTCTCCAGCAAAGCAGCTAGTTGATTTGAACTGCTCATCTTTTGGTTAGCAGCCGAGTTCCTGGCAGACCTATTATTGTTGCTGTTGTTAAGTGCCATGGAGTAGATTCCAACCCATAGCAACCCTGTTAGAATGGCTAAAGTCCAAAGCACTGACATCATCAGTGTGTTGCAGACCGTGTCGACTATACAGGCCGCAGGCTCTGAGGAACAAATTCTGGCCACTGGCAGTCATGGGAAATTGTTTTTCATCTTAGTGTTCAGTTATGTTTTTTATTTAATTCCAAACATGAGCCCTTAATATCCACAGATAAATGTAATATTTTCCTAAAGCCAAGACTGTAAAGGCTTCAAGGTTAAGCCCTTCTCCAAAGGATTAACTGAAAACAGCTTAGCTACTTCCCGGTTCTTTGTTCCTTAGACAAAAAAGCCATCTTCCCTAAATCTGTCCCAGGTGCAAGCTTTTCAGCCAAGTTCCTGAAAACCTGGCTCAGGAAGCCAAAACAGCGGGACTCCTCCCAAGCCTTTTGTCCTTCCCTCCCACCTTCCCCCAACTGAGCTCAGGGGCTATAGATATGTTAATTGAGCCTGAGAAACCAAGTTGCGGCCTGGGATTTGAACCAGCGAAGTACGATGTAAAGTTACCTGAATGTCTGGAAAATTACTGATGTTAGCTGTACCTTGTCTTAGTCCCTCCCAGCTTGATGTGAAGCTCCTCCCCTAAATAAAACGGAGACGCAGGCTGGCCCAGGTGTGTATTACAGGTTGGAGGGCATGCAGTACAGTTTGCAGGGCAGTGAGTTGCTGCCTGCAGAGGCCACGATGCCTGTAGTCCCAAGTCTGCCCACCAGTGATGTATCCACCCTGGTTTCCGGGTGCCTCTTTGTCCCCCTCCTTTTGTCTTTTTGTGTATTCCTTTGCTATCCCTATCGCCGCCAGATATCCCCTCCTCGTGAACCAAACACTCGTGAACCAAGTTCCTATGTCGAGGCCAGTCCCCAACATCAGTGCTGCTAAGGGTGTAGAGCAACAGAAACTCTCCCTCCTTGCTAGTGGGAACACACAATGTTGCAGCCACTTTAGGAAGCAGTTTGGCAGTTCCTTACAAAGCTTAAAGAAGAGTCTTGCAATCCCAATCAGCAATAACGCTCCTACAAGTACACACATTAGTTGAAAATGTCTATCTACAGGAACATCTGCATGCCAGTGTTTTGAACAGCCTTACTCACAACTGACAAAAATTGGAAGGAACCAAGACATCCTTTGGTAGGCTAATGGATACAGAAACGGCAGCCCATCCATACTTCTGAGTATTATTTGGTGATAGCAAGAAACAAGTTACCAAACCACAAAAAGAAGAGAGAAATCCTACGTGCATCTTGCTAAGCGAAAGGCACCGGTCTGAAAACGCTCCAGACTGTATGATTCTAGCTGCGGGACAGTCTGGAAAAGTAAGGCTGAGGAAACAGTGAGAACAGTTACAGCTGCCAGGTCTCAGGATGGATAAATCGATGGTGCATCAGGGATGTTGTTGTTGTGGAGTGCTGTCGAGTCGGATCCGACCCACAACAAACCTGTATAGGACTTCCAAGCAGCAGCTGGTGAGTTTGAACCACTGACCTTGCGGTTCAAACCAACTTTGCAGTCCACTTCATTAACCCACAGCACCACACCAGGAATGTTTATGGCAGTGAAATTACTCTGTGAGACACTGCAGTGGTGGACACGTGACATTATGCATCTGTGAAAACCCACTGGATGTGCAACACAAAGAATGGATCCTGGTCACCTCTGTTGTTAAGTTCCGATCATAGCGACCCCATACAGGGTTTGCGAGGTTGTAAATCTTTGAGAAAACAAAAAGCCTCTTCTCCTGTGGAGCTCAAACTGGTTTGCAGTTCAGTACTTACCCTACAGAGTCACTGTGTTCCACACACACACACACACACACACACACACACACACACACACACATCAACTATAGACTTTGCTGTTGTTGTTAAGTGCCATCGAGTTGCTTCTGATTCCCAGGGACCCTGTATAGGGTTTCTAAGGAGTGGCTGATGGGTTTGAACTATCAGCCTTGTGGTTAGCAGTGCTTATCTACCAACTAAAGATACCGTACTAATGCTGAGTCATCAATTTTAGCTAGTATACCACCACACACACACTCACACACTCACACACACAAGTGCTTATCTACCAACTAAAGATACCGTACTAATGCTGAGTCATCAATTTTAGCTAGTATACCACACTAATATAAAATAATAACAGGGTAAGGTAATACATGAGAACGCTCTACTTTCCGTTCAAGTTTGTATTCTGCTTTGTTTTTTGGAGGGGAGTGGATTTAAGTATTAAGAACACCCACTTAGTAGAGAGTGACTCAAGTCACCACCTTAGCTTCTCTTGGAGACATGGTCCAATTGATAAGACTTCTTTGGACAAGCTCCCTCTCCTACCCTGGACCTTCCATCTGGCTCTTTCATCTAACCTCCAGTTCATGGGACTTTCTGCCCATTGCCTGACCTGACTCACCAGCTCCCGCAGCCTCATGCATCAACAGCCTGTCATCTGACCTACCGATCTGGGTTCCTCTACTCCTGACACTAAACAGATGAAGATTCTTCCAGACTATCTCAGACTTGCCAGACTCCACAATTGCCTGAGTTGTTTCTTTTGACAGTTGTGAGTTTTGTGAGATGTTGCAGCGTGCTGCAGAACCCTGGGGCTTGAGATAAGGGTGGGATGGTAATTCATATCAAGGACTATGGAGGGAAATAACATGTTGGAAAAGTGGAACCGCTGGGATATGTTTAACCTCCAACTCATAGGGACCAGCCTTGTGTTGATCTTTAGAAAAGAGATTATTTATGCAACAATAATTCGTCACTGAGCTGTGTATTCCTCAACCCTAAATGGGAATAATAAGGACACATTAGTCGTAGGGTTATCTAGAAGACTAGATGAGTGACCGCAGATCAAGTCCATACCACAGAGCCTGGTAGACGTCACTAGTACGCAGCGGCGGGCATGGAATTAAAATAGCTCTCCTTAGAATGGCAGTCGCTTAAGCACACTTTTTATATGCCCTGCATGATGCTAACCTCTTGGAAGACAGAATCCTCATCAAGGCCATTATTGTGAAGCTACAAACCATGGTTGTTGTTGTTGGTATGTGCCACCGAGTCAATTCTGACCCATAGCGATCCTGCATAGGGTTTCCAAGGCTGTAAATCTTTACGGGTGCAGAAAGCCTCATCTTTCTCCCACAGAACAGCTGGTAGTTTCGAACTGTGATAGCTGGTACCTAATTATGCGAAAGCATCTACCTTTTGTAAAGATTAACCCAATGAATTTTCAAATTACAGGGTACACACATGTACACATGACACACTTGTCTTGCACATACTTATGCCCAACAAAAACTCTATCATTCCAAAGCCACATTCAACAATCAACTCCAGGCTGACTGGGATGCCATTGTGGGCCTCTGTATAAAGGCTCATTTGCAAAGACTTGGTCCAAAGCTGTAAAGTTTCAGTGTGTTTTCTCTCTCCTGTTTCTCATTCTTCCAGTACCGGGCACACAATTCATAACGCCTCTCCACTACACCGCAATGCCTGCTGTGAAGGGGACTAGAATTATGAACACCACATTTACAAATCCACTCCACATTGTTCAACATCCTGTCCTAGAAACTAGGTCAAGTGCAGTCGATAAATGAGTGTGAAGCTAAACTCAATTCAATGTAAATGAAACGAGATGTGGCCAAGTGCCCAACGGCATATATAGGCCACCTCTTCTCAGTCTGTCTGTCTGTCTCACATTCTGGTCCCCTTTCCTCTCCCCTCTCTTCCCCAGCCCTCTCTTTCCTCTCACCTTTTCCCCAACCACTCACTCAC